AATTTCATTTTTATTTTGGAGTTTACTACAAAACTAAAAAAAAATGAAAAAATGATAAAAATACAAAAAAAAAAGAAAAGAAAATATATAGAAAATACAAAAAAAATTATCCAAAGACGTAATTGCATTAAAGAAAAGTGTAATTGAAGTATTTAGGAGCATAATTGAATTAATTGAGAAATTCAGAACTTGAATTACACTCTATAAGAACCCAACTAATAAAAATCGTACTTTAGAAGGATTGAAATTATATGGGAAAAGGGTACAATTGTTGATAATTGAAATTTGTCGGGATCAAACTTTCGAGCGAATGACAGAATTAAATTCAAGGTCGTCCGATTTAACCTAAAATCTCTTCCGAGATTGTTTCTCAATCTTTCCCCGGAGATAAATCTTCTCCGGATTGTGTTATTTGATTCGCATTCACTCGTTGATTTTTAGCTGTAAGTGATAGTAGCCAAGATTCTTAGTTGTTATTCGAATTTTTATTGTTCAAGGGAATTTTCTTTTCGACAAATATCCATTACTTGTAAATAGCATTTTACTGTTAAATCAAATAATTGACCTACAGATCAACAAAAAGAAACCAAATACTATGCAATGACAATGAAGTTGTATTCCCTTTCGTATCAAAAAGACCATAAACCCACAGAGATCGGATTAATAAGTTTATTTTGACCACACATTAATTTATGAGAATGCTGCCAATTTGTGCTTAGGAGGATTAACCAAGCAAATGTCGAGGAGACAGTCAACTGAAGTGTACTTATAGTCAGGATATAGCTTGGAGGCCTCCAAATCTTCTGCTGTGAGTTCAAAGCTCATCTGATCACCTTTGATGAATATGTTGTGGAGGATAGACACTGGGATATTTTCTGGGAAGGGCAAGGCTGCATGGTCCAGCAATAATTTTTTTACTAAATATCATAACGTAATATAATGTAATGTAACATAATGTTAGTAAATAGTAAAGAACCATTTCAATCCAAAAATTTAAACTATTAGGTGAAGTTTCAAAAAATAATTTTTTATTACTTTCTAATACATTCTATTAAGTGAATGTTTTTTAGAGTTGAAACTTGCACAAACCCACTATTCTTTTGTGTTTAATTAATAAATTTTAGTTAGAAAATAAAATGGATTTGGTAAGAATCGTTATTAAGACTCCAAAACTGTGTTAAAAACCATTAAATTCAAAAAATTTAAACCGTAAAACAAGCCCCCTTGAATAATTTTTTCTTATTTTTTAACAGTAACGAGATATCTTTTCAGAAAAACATAAGCTATTTAGTTGCAGTTAGACCAATTAATATTTTATGAAATGTTGCATGCAGCATATAAAAAGTAATTTCAGACTTTGGCCACTTACACTCAGAGAGCTTCACAATTTCTTCCTCAGGGACATGGATTTTTTTGAAAGTTCGTCCAGTCTTTTTCTCCCAAGAAGATATTATATCTAGTTGAGAAACAATGTTTCCTGGGGGCCTGTAGATGACAACACGATTAGCAGCCCTCGGATCTGTCGCTGCTTTCACTGTGTAGGCTGCCACATCCTCTTCATAATTCAAGACAGCTTCATGTGACCAAACAAAAGGAAAAAAGAAGAAGATAATTTCGTTAGTTTGGATGAAAATCTAACAAAAAGACCGATTGAATAACGAGACTATATTTAGAGACAAATTAGATTTTAGGATAGAATATAATATCCTTAAATATTATATATATATATATATATATATATATGTTTGCGCAAATACAATATTTAACTCACCTTTGGCTTCACCACTTCCATAAACAGTAACGTCATCTCGTTTCTCATGGGGATGGAGCAAGTAATCCACAAAATATGCAGCAAATGAGTTTGCAGACACATAAGTGTAAGAAAGTCCAGCTGCTTCTGCTGCTCTCCTGATCTTTCTTTTGTTAGCGAGCAGTGTTTCAAAAGGTGGCAGCCCACTAACTCTATCGACTTCATTTCCAAATTCTGATGGAACAAACCTCTAATAGCACACACAAAGGATCATGAAAAGCTTGATAACAACCATTTCCTTAAGAAGGGCGAAAGGCTAATTAAGCTATAACTTACTTCGATATTGCCAGCTTCTTTCACAGCACTAATTATTTTGAATTGTTCAAGATGTTGTGGAACTGCAAGTGTAGAAATCACCACATCTACTTGTTTTATTGCTGAAACAAGCTTGTCATGCTCGTCCAGTTCTCCCTGTAAATTTGTAAATATTGCATAAATTATGATTGGATTACATCAAGGATATTCTTGATACCACCTTAAATGTATTATCTTTTTTGCTATAGGATCATGTAGTTCAATTGATAGTGGTATCTCTCCTTTAAAAAGTTATAGGTTCGAATCTCTTCTGCATATATATATAAACACATGCAGGCATGCTTGCGATGTCGAAGCTGGTAAGTAATTATGAATTCTGAATGGAAAAATCTAAATATTTACTTGGATTTATATGGAAAAAAAAAACAAAGTTCGAATCTTAATATTTTGAATTGCCAGCTTCTTTCACAGCACTAATTATTTTGAATTGTTCAAGCTGGTAAGTAAGTTTAGTGTAACGATTGCGTGCGTAGTTAGTTTTTTCAGTAAAACAAAGTTTGAATCTTAATTTTTTTTTTTTTTTTTTTTTTTTTTTACGGAGAAAGGACGAGTCTGTAATGAAAAAAAGAAAATTACTTGAAATATAGTGACTCCCAAGGATCTGAATTCCTTGAGGAGCTCTAGCTTGGAAGGATTGGTATTCGGTTTGAATGGACGGACATAAGCATAGGTAGGATGACTCAATGATAGGCTTGCCTTGACCATGTATACGCCAAGATATCCAGTTGCTCCAAATATTAGTATCTTGCTCTTCTCACAGGCCATGGTTCTCCCTTCTTCTTTTTTTCAAGTGCTCCTTGCAATCTATTGCAACAGCTAGAAAATACTTCTTTTGAAGCTTGGAAACATGAACCTCTATATAGAAAAATATCTCTTGACTATTCCCAAACTATACCCTTTAAAATAATAGTTTTTTTTTTATTCAAGTATTTTATCTCACATTAGAGATAGGGCTAATTCTATTCAATATATATATATATATATAGTCAAAAGTCAAAATTGATCTTATGGGTTTATCTGAAAATTTCGACAAAAAATTCTAGATTAGGGTAGAATGTTAATCGGATCAATCAAATTAGTATTACTGAATTGGATTTGCTGGCATGTTTAATGAAAATGGGCATCCATCAAATTAGCATTATTGAATTGGATTTGCTGGCATGTTTAATGAAAATGGGCATCCATAGATCGAATTTCGAGTATATTCATACATTATCAATTACCTATTAAATAATAAATTTAAATATTTACATTCGATCGATCTATCATGTTTCAACTATCTATTTGAAAAATAATTATTTAAATATTATGTTTTATTTAATATAAAATAAGACGATAATATATATATTGATCAAGTTTAAATTAGGTTTTAGGTCGAGTTTGATAATATTTATATTATATTCATTATTCAACGATTAAAAATTTGAAAGATCCATTTGGATCAATTCATATGAATAATCATTGGATTTGGGTTAAGTTGCCATCCCTGGGGGACCCAGGTAGACGCTTTCAAAGCTGGCGTAAAACTCGACTAATTGGAACCAAGGAGGTAATATCGATCCCCGTTTTTTTTTTTTTTTTTAAGGCCTGAATTTGATAAAACTATCTTTTAAAATTAATCACTCACCACTTCATTATTTCTTAGTTTAAGTTTTATAAATAGCAAAATATATATGTGTTATAGCACAAATCCAATCAATAACTTATTAACCTAATAGCTCAATTAGGTCACCGTTGGAGTTAGGTTTAATTACATTCAACCAAGTTATTGGCTCCTGTCATCTTTCTCTTTCTGCAGTACTTATCTCAGGTTGAAAACTTGTAATGTGATGACCCATTGAGAAATTCAGATTTCAGAAAATCATCTCACTAACTCATTTGGTGGGCTTATGTTTTCATGGCTGATCGTCTTGTTTTCTCATATTTATCACGAAACATTCAGTTGACAAGTTAGGATCTATAACCGTAGCAGAAAATTGGAAGTTTCACATGGATAACGAGTTCCAATTTTAAAGTTTGGCACACTTCATTGGTGACTGTCAATGAAACCCAGGTGACAAGTTAGGGTTAAGACATGCTTCCATCAGTTCATGTTTTCGTAGATTTTACTATAAGTTCGTTGAATTTGAAGGATTATTGTCTTTTTCCATAATCTTTTCCTTGCGACAAAAATTTCAAGTTTGTCAGCTAAGCGTACCATCACATACAAGCAAGTTTCTAGACATTCATGGAAATACTCTTTCTGTAATCCTTTTTTCCCCGAACCACTATATATTAATGTATCAAATTTTCAAAAAGAAAATCTAACATTCCGTCTCCAAGGGACATCCTAGTTAGGGCTTAAGATTTTCGGTATTGTTCAAATTCTTAAGAGATCTGGGTGAGGTTTTAGAGGAAACGAAAGCAGAGATTGAATATATGAACTTTAAACTATTTGATAATAAACTAATAGGATCTTACAAATTTAGAGAAAAGAATTTTACAATGAAAATCAATATGGTTCTTTTACACAAGCGGGTTACACAATGGGGTAAACCTCCCCTCTGTTCATCCTCACAATATATCCTATGTATGCATGAGATTCAATCTCTAATCTGTAACAAACTAACGCCAATTAACTTAATCAAGACAACTAGCCCCACAGAAATCAACATTTTAATCTAATAAACTAACCTCAATGTTACAGATTAATCACCTGGAAAGTACTGCTGCAGCGAATCAGTTTAGACGTACTGACCTTGCTCATTAGGTTGAAATACCGGCTTCATCAGGTTGCGTAATTGGAGAGCAAAATTCCTCCTTGCTCAGCAGCTATGCCAATGTGTCTTTCATTTGACTCATAGCAGCTTGACAACTTAAACGAACGCTTTTGAGAATGTTGTGTCCAATTGTTAGTCATCAGCTGCGTCAATCTCTGAGCAAATCGTAGCGATGTACCATTGAGTCCTAGGATTGGTAGAAATTTCGTGTCATTCTCCGAGCAAAACACTTGATGATGCATCGTTTGTCAGATTGATGAAAACTATGACTCAGACTCTGAGCAAAGCAATTGTAGTGAAGCTTTGAACTGTCAGGTTGATCAAACTCGAGACAGTAAAGTATGCAGCAAAGACTAACTGGTATGAGCTGTTTGTTGTTCTTGGACCCAATGGATATCCTGCTCAAAAGAAGAAAATGCAACCATAACCATTCATCGGAAGTCTAAAAATTACACAAAGCAAATTGACATTGAAGATGCTTTGACATGGCAAATGATAAATATGGCTTGTAACTTAAATATTTAGAATACTCAACATAAAACAAACAATACATATTCTATCACAAGTATTGATATGTCATCATACAATCTTACAGTCTCAGATATCCAGAAAATATGACCGGGTTTGATTCATAAAAAAGTCAATTCAAAAGGTAGACCTAATTCAATCAGAAGGCCAAACTGAAAGGTTCAGTAAATGTTTAGTAGCTCTTGGTTTTTTAAGAAAAATCAACCACCTAATTTAAACAGCTATGCTCAATGAACTTTTCTCTAATATTCAGTTTCAAATCTAGTTCTTTTGCTGTCTAAACTTGGCAAGAAGCTAGACATCAATATAGGTATTTACAAGGTCCTGCAAATAAACTGGAGCCCTTCAAGGAAAGTTTTGCAATAAGATGGATAGCAACACAGAATCGATATAAGTTATTATAACCCAGAAAAACTTGCTTCTCCAGAGAGAGATGGCCCTCACTTGGCCTGAGTTTATGTCCTATTATAAGTCTAGAGTAAATAGCTATCTTAGATTTTCTAATTGAGATTGAATCTATATAATACAGTATTAAATCTAAAAACTAATAATTAACGACAATGCTTTCGTAAAATGCATGAAAATTGTTTTTTAAAAAAATATATGGCATAATAATAATTAATATTTTTTAAAAGTGAATGAAAAATCAAAAGGACAATTTCATTTGATTTTATATTATTTTTATTTTACACAATAATATTGGGTGTTTTAATTTCAATTTTATTTGTTTGCTACTATAATTAAACATGAAACCACTAATAACTAATTAAAAAATACATTTTTACATTAGCGACAGAATAACAATTCACTAGCAACAAGAAAAAATTAAATTACATAGATTACTGAAGCACGATTATAAAAATCGTTGGTATATTATCAATCAAATAGATATGGATTAACGACAAAAATTTTAGTGAGGGATAATTTTCATTGATAACTTGTCGTCACATTAGAGATGAATAGAAGACCTTTAGCAACTACATCTTTGTCGTTAATTTCATCACATTAACAACGAACAAATTATATTATTGCAACATCTTTTTTGTTGCTAAATTAGAGATGGAAGTTATAATTCATTGCTGAATTTATTAGCAACAAGCAATTTTCTCGCAAATTTGTTTTCTCGCCATGCCATTGTTGAAGTACAATAACGATGAAATACATGGTTTTAGGGATGAAAAAATCTATTGCTATTGCGCTATTTTTTATTTATAGCGTAATGGTTTTCTCGCAACCTAAGGGGTGTGCCCATTCTCCTTTCAAATTGAAATTTCTGATGTCGAAGTGCAGGAAACAACAGCAACTGTCCTGACTGCAGCACTCGTTTCGAAGAAACCTGAACCACCTTCTTCTGGGTCTTCTGATATTGGCTCCTCTGGGCAAGGAAGTTCTTCAGGTACGATTGTTCCGTCACTTTCGATTGACAGGCGGATCCAATCTTCAGAGGTTGGAACACATGTGCTGCTTCTGAGGTGATAGAAGAAAACAAAAGCTATGAACCTACAGCTGAGGTAATTAAGCTATAGCTCTTATGATGTTCTCTTATGGTTTAATAATGGTATTAAATGGTTGGATGGTTTTGTCACTCACATGAACAGGAAACGATAAACAATTTGGATGACAAGACATCTTCAAAATCACTTGATGTTCAGAAGTCGCAGACTGTTGGGGACGAGCGTTCCACATGTCCCACTGAAGAAGACATGAAATTACCCACTTCTTCGATAACCAACTCAGACAGTACCATAGCTGATCATACAACTTCTGGTGCTGAAGATGCATGGTCTTCTTGCCCCAGAAAAGATTATTGGTAATCATACAGGTGCTCCCGGAGGAGGCTCGGAATTAACTACTGCTGAGATAAAAGAAGCAGGAGGAGATAAAAGAAGCAGGAGGAGATAAAAGGCTGAATCCATGGATAATGTGGTGGCCAGGATTTTGGATAATAATAAAACAATTAATGTATCAAGTGATGTTCTTTCCTACTTCGGTGGTAGTGCAAACTCATCAAGTTCTGGATAAGCTCAATCTGGCATATGGGAATATGGTGAGTTTCCATACCTTGCAATGAGTTGGTTATACTTTTTTTGGGCCTAACATCGATCAGAAATGAAAATGGCCTCTTTGAAGACTAATTTTTTATTGAGACATTATGCCTACAATCTTATAAAATTTTGTTTTTTGTATTTTTTGTATTTTTTTTTTCACGTATGGAACCTTTACAATTGCATATTTTCTGTAACTGTTAAAACATATTCCTAAGCATATGATGAATATGTTTGGTTTTGTGGTCTGAATTTGGTAACTGTCCCCCGTCCGCAATCTTATCATTGGCTCTTCACTTTTTCCATTTTATTTCTGTGGAATGAATTTTTTCGTATCACTTATGAGCGTTATGAGAATGGAGAGGCTTGTGGCCGGGTTTGAATAAAAGATAGGAAATGGAACTTCCTGTTAAGTTTGGACCTAATACAAATAAAAGCTTACCCTAAAGCCCCAATATTTAAAATAAAGGATCCATAAATTGACAATCTAAGAAAATTATAGTAGACTACACATCGTTGGACCTAATGCAAAGAAAAGGAAGAATCGAAACGGCTAAATGTGTTCGGGCCAATGGAGAAGAACCACGTAGCGGTAACGAGTAAGTTTTTGGAATAGTGGAGCTTTGGAGTGGCTGGAAAAACAATGAAGATGTTTGATGAAATATGTAATTAAAAATCTATTTGAACTGAAATTAAAAGAAAAAAATTACGTATTATTTATTAAATATGTAATTTATCTCATAAAAAAATATTTTATACTTTTTGGAGTGTGGGGTTTACATATGTTTCACACTCAAGCTTTGCCTAACCCAACATTCATGGTATTGCTTTTGGAGCTCTCAAATTAGACTTTCGCTCTTTACTAGGAAAAAGAAAAAAAAGTCGCCCTTTTTAATCAATCAATTTAAGGAAAAAAAATCATGCTAGAATACTATTTTAACTCAGAAGTTTAAATTGTTAAATAAGTTTTAAGAATAGTTTTATATTAATTCACTACATCCACCCAAAGAAAAATATCCAATTAAGATTCATTTTTAATATCAAATATCTAATAGCTAATTAAGAATGTTCTCAGGAAAAAAAAAATCTAATTAAGAAAAAGTCCCAGGACTCCAATTCTTAAGCTCTGAAATATGCCTTTAGTTCTTTACTGAAAAAGAAAAAAAAATTAACTAGTTTTCTTTCACATAGAAAAAAAAAACTATCTCACATCTTTTCTTTTAAACTATAAATTGAATCAAGAAAGAAATTATGTACCTCATTGGGCAATTATAAACAAGAATTGGTTATGGTCATTTGGCATTGGGCCAGTTGGCTTATATAATCAATGCAACAAGAATTGGTTATGGGTTAATTGATTTAACTCCAATCAGCTTAGGTTTGCGTGAGGGTGAGGTGAGGGTATGAGGATCTGGAATGAACGACGTGTTCACTAATGAATTTAAAAAAAAATTAATAATTTCGGTTATTCGGTTTTAATCGAATTTAAAAAAAAATCGAAACCGAAATTGAAAACCGGCTATATTTCGATTCGGTTTTTTTTTTAGTTTCTTAAAAAAAAAAAACCCGTACTGAAATTGATATTTCGATGCGGCTCGGTTCGGTTATTCAATTTTTATCGAATAGTGAATACTCCTAACTCCAATTCTAAAGCTCTAAAATATGCCTTTAGTTCTTTACTATACTAAAAATAAAAAAAAAAAAGAGAATATCCCTTACTTTTTTTTTTTTTTTTTATCAGCCAGTTTAAAAGAATCATTTTCACATTATACGTAACACATCACGTTTTGTAATGATCGATTTAGTCTTATATACGTAGCACATCACGTTTTGTAATAATCGATTTAATCTTGTTTTCTTGTCGTGAAATATCTATTCTGTTGACAAGCTAGTCCGAGTTTAGAAAAATTAATTAAAAGCTTCAAATGGAGCATGCGTGGATTCTAATTTTCAAAGACTGACCCACTTCTGTAATACCATTGTCAATCACAATTCGCAACTAATTGAGGTTAGGGTCAAGACACACTTTCCTACTTCTTGTAAATTTTAAAAATTAATTAAATAATTCTTTCAATTTAATTAATTAATTAATTAGTCTATATATTTTTAAACCTATTTGTAATTTAAATCTTTTTATTTTTTATTTTAATAAATAAAAAAATAAGTAAAAAAACATGAAAAGATTAATAACTCAAACATGGGGTCCAAGCCGTTGAACTTATTAAACCCTCTTAATTTGTTCCGGCTTCGTTGGGGCCCAATCAACCCTTGCCATATCAAGACTTCCCTTCAGTTTATTCCATTTCTAATTTAGTTCGTTTTCTTTTCTTTTTTTCTTTTTCGGGAAAGATAATCAGATTAATTTAGACGAAATGATTTTACTATATCAACTAAATTGTTTAAATTTACGCTCCATTTTAGTATGCTACTCGTCTAAACTAATTTAAGGCAATTTTTATTTTTTAAAAAAATCATAAATATATTTGAATAGATATAATTTTTTTACTTAAATCGATAAATTTATTCAAAATTGAATCAAATTATGTTTTAATAATTTTTTTATTTTTTTCACTTTGAACTTATCGATACTATCTTATGCTATTGTTCTCTACTTTTCCTTTCAAGTTGTTTTCAGTTAATTTTTACAAAATATATTTTAATTTAACTTCTTTTTATTATAAATTATTTATAAAAATAACTTTTGAATCATGTAAAATTAAGAATTATTTTTCATAATTTATGCCGAACTCACTTGTTGTGTGATTGGCTTTGATTTTAGCTTTAACCATTGTACGTACCTTTCAATTAGCAATGCTCTCTTCATCTGGAAAGGTTATGGGCGTAGACACATTCAAGATTGTGAATCAATAAAATGTAATAATATTTTATCCATGAAAAAAATGACATTGATAAAGGAAAAGGGAGGGTAGAAGCGGAGTTAAATCATATATATATATAAGAGAAACGTCCAGCACTTAAAGATCATTGATTAAATTGATAAAAATTTTCCATATCACTAAATTTATTTATATAAAAGAGAAATGTCAAGCACTTCAAGATCAATTAGTCTTTTTTTTGTTAATTAAAATTACAATTAATGTTTATTTGTAGAATGGCTTCTGGGGCAGTGGTAAATTAATTAAAACAATATAAGTCAAAAAAAGGCAAAATAAAGAGAAAAGTCAAGTTCATAAATAAATAAATAAAGGTCTCTATTACCTTTAAAATGAAAGGCAGTAGAAGGAAGGCCCGTTGGCTCTTCTCTTGTATGTGCGTTGTCTTCTTCCTTTTGAAATAAGAAACTCATGCAATGCATGGAAATGGTTTCGACCATCTATTGCTCACTCTCCTCCCTTCCACAAAATTTAGGGGTAAAAAAAAAAAAGTTGTGAACATCGTTTAGCCACCGTTGCCCTTGCTGTACTCTCCTCCCTTCCACGAGATTTTTTTGGCATATATCCCTCATCTTTTAGCACAAAGATTAAATTATAAATTAATTCTTTTAGATTTTAAGAAATAATTAAATAGTTCTTTCAATTTAATTAATTAGTCTATATATTTTAAATCTATTTGTAACTTAATTCTTTTTATTTTATATTTTAATAAATAAAATATGAAAAGATTAATGAGAAAAGAAAATAATTTTTGAAATAAAATAATATTAAATTAAATATAATTAAAATTGATACAAATAAAAATAATTAATTTTTAAAACCAAAACTATTATTTAATTATTTTTATAAAACCAGAAAAATTAATTTATAATTTACTATTTACTATCAAAGGATTAATTTATAATTTTTTTCATCTAAAAACTTAAGTTGTTAGTTGAGATCACAATATATAATTTATATTATTCTTTGATACACACACTCAAGTGAAAGCCCTTTGGGCTTAAAATTTACACCGACCTATGCTACCTTGTGCTTAATTAATTTGAAGAGAAAGTGAGTGTGATAGGATTTAAACTCACGATCGTTTGTTTATTAACACTCTATTATCATGTCATAGCACTATCTCACCCTAAAAGCTTAAACTGTTAGGAGAATCCTCAAAATATGATTTATATTATTATTTAATATTTTTCAACATATCTATCCAATTCTTTTTTGGCATAGGATAGGATAGTAGTCTTTTTCCATTTTTTCTCGAATTTATATTGTTCAAGGCCATTTTCTTTTTGACAAATATACATTACTTGTAAATATCATTTTGCTGTTAAATCAAATAATTGATCTACAAATCAACAAAAAGAAACCAAATACTATCCAATGACAATGAAGTTAATTGTATTCCTTTTCGTACCAAAAAGATCATAAACCCACAGAGATCGATCGATTAATAAGTTTATTTTGACCACACATTAATTTACGAGAATGCTGCTAATTTGGTGACAGTTAGGAGGATTAACCAAGCAAATGTCAAGGAGACTGTCAACTGAAGTGTACTTATAATCAGGATATAGCTTGGAGGCCTCCAAATCTTCCACTATGAGTTCAAAGCTCATGTGATCACCTTTGATGAATATGTTGTGAGGGATAGACACTAGGATATTTTCTGGGAAGGGCAAGGCTACATGGTCCAGCAATAACTTTTTTATTAAATATCATAACGTAATTTAATGTACGTAATGTAACCTTATGTTAGTTATTTTCAAAGAATCATTTTAATCTAAAAATTTAAACTATTAGATGAAGTTTCAAAAATAATTTTTTATTATTTTATAATATATTCTATTAAGTGAAAGTCTTTTAGGTTTGAAATTTGTATAAATCCATTATTATTTTATGTTTAATTATTTAATTTTGATTAGAAAATAAAATTGAATTGGTAGGAATTCGTGACTATTTCGTTATTAAGATTTTAAAATTATATTAAAAAACCATCCCAATTCTCACGTTTTGTAACAATGGATTTAGTCTTCTTTTTTTTTTTTTATCACGAAATATATATTCTGTTGACAAGTTAGGGTTTAGAAAAATTAAAAGTTTCAAATGGAGCATGCGCGCATGGATTCTTATTTTCAAAGATTGACCCACTTTTGCAATATCAGTGTCAATCACAATTCGCAACTAATTAAGGTTATGGCCAAAACACACTTTCATGTCAAATATAAGGTCATTGAAGTAGTTAGGATTATTAGTGTCTTTTTCCATAATTTTTCCTTTCCTTGTGCACGATTCAAGTTTGTAATTAAAAGTTGACTTGAGTTTCTTTGTTGAACTGTCCACTCTAGTCTTATCACGAATCCTTGTCCTTGTTTTATGATAGGAAAAGATTATTGAATTTGTTGATCATCTCGAGATTGGCGATGGCTACAAAAATAAATTTAATCTAACGGTTGTATATTTAGTTAATTTTTCTAGCAAAATAAAGTTTGAATCTTACTAATTGTAAGTTTTGTTAATGATTATACAATGAGAAAGATCGATCCTTATTGTGTAGCCTAAAAACCCATGAGCCTCCGATTAATTATTTTGCCAACTATATATATATATAGAACACAAGACTTGCCATTATGATGTTTTTAAAGTAAAGAAAAGAAAGAATTGATCTTCTTGGTTATAGATTGTCTCAAAAGATTAAGTTGTTAGGTGAGATGTAGAATATGATTTATATTATTTTTTAACTCGTTAGATGAGATATAAGATATGATTTATATTATTTAATAACACACCTTTTTAAGTGAAAGTGTTTTAGATTTGAAATATGCTCAATCTCACACTATTTTGTGTTATTATATTTTTAATTGGAAAAGAAAGCTAAAGTAGTGAGATTCGAACTCTTGACCATTAAATTAAAAAGAATTTTATACATATCAAAAATAATTTCAACCTAAAAAGTTAATCTGTTAAATAAGATTTTGAAATATGATTTATATTATTTTTTGAATAATATAAGTCGAAGTTTGTTAGATCATCTAACATAGAAATATTGTGTTCTAAATGATCAAATCCACATAATAATTTTTTTGAATTTGTGTTTCCTAGCAATTTATAACATTTGTAGCCATATCGGCCGAGGCTAGACCGATTAGGTCAGATTTTTGTTCAGATACCTATAACTGTAACAGTGATAGCATGTTGTATTTATATATAATATTTAATACAATAGTTATAATATAGGTAATTAAAATTATAAAAAATTACAGTATTAAAAAAAAAAACAAAAGCTAAATCTTATTTCTTAATAAATATATATATTGACTAATTTTACTATACTAAGAAATCAAAAGACTACAAATAGTAAATTTCACTTAAACTTTTGACGTTTACATAATATTTAACTCATAACCACTAATAGAAGAATAACCTCATTCTGATAAGGATGAATTAATTGGTGAAGTTTCCTTTCCAAACTCTGTAACTGACAATACATGTTTTCTATAACTCTGTGACTAGTAGTAAAAGCTTAACACACTTATGTAACTGTTTTACTTTATCTTCTCTAATTCTGCCTTAGAATGTAAAGGCTCTGTTGGTGTAAAGTATTTGGTGTGAGTTAATAAAACCTTTACACATTCTCCGACAATTAAACTACATATGTAACTGTCAATATATACTTTCTAAGAGTTGTTGCTTTGTCCTTTTGTTGTTAATTAAAATTACAATGTCTATTTCTAGAATGGCTTCTGGGGCAGTGAAAACAATATGACTCAAAAAATGGCAAAATAGAGAGGTAAGTCAAGTTCATAAATAAATAAACAAAGGTCTCCATCACTTTTAATATGAAAGGCAATAGAAGGAAGACCGGTTGGCTCTTCTCTTGCACGTGCGTTGTCTTCCTTTTTAAAAAGAAATTCATGCAATGCATGGAAATTGTTTCGACCATCTATTGCTCACTCTCCTCCCTTCCACAAAATTTAGGGGTAAAAAAAAAAAAATGTTGTGAACATCGTTTAGCCACCGTTGCCCTTGCTCGCTCTCCTTTCTTCCACATATGTATCCAATTCTTGTTTGGCATACGATAGGATAGCAGTCTTTTTCTTTTTTGTATTGAATTTATAAGGCAATTTTCTTTTGGACCAATATCCATTACTTGTAAATATCATTTTGCTGTTAATTAAATCAAATAATTGGCCTACAAATCAACAAAAAGAAACCAAATATTATGAAATGACAATGAAGTTGTATTACTTTTCGCACTAAAAAGATCATCAACCCACAGAGATTAATAAGTTCATTTTGTGCACACATTAATTTATGAGAATGCTGCTAATTTGGGCTTAGGAGGATTAACCAAGCACATGTCAAGGAGACTGTCAACTGAAGTGTACTTGTAGTCAGGATATAGCTTGGAGGCCTCCAAATCTTCTGCTGTGAGTTCAAAGCTCATCTGATCACCTTTGATGAATATGTTATGCAGGATAGACATTGGGATATTTTCTGGGAAGGGCAAGGCTGCATGGTCCAGCAATAAATTTTTTATTAAATATCATAACGTCATATAATGTAATATAACATAATGTTAGTAACTATAAAAAAAACTTCACTATTACCTTGTGTTTAATTATTTAATTTTAGTTAAAAAATAAAATAGGGTTGGTAGGAACTCGTGACCATTTCATCATTAGGATTCTAAAATTGTGTTAAAAATTTATCTCAATCATAAAAATTTAAACCGTTAAATGAGTTTCTATGAATAATTTTTCATTAATTTTTTAACAGTAATGATGTCTTTTCAGAAAAGCTTAAACTATTTATTTGCAGTGTGACCGATTAATGTTTTATGAAATGTTGGATGCAGCATATCAAAGGCAATTTCAGATGTTGGCCACTTACACTCAGAGAGCTTCACAATTTCTTCCTCAGAGACATGGGTTTTTTTGAAAGTTCGTCCTGTCTTTTTCTCCCAGGAAGAAATTAAATCTAGTTGAGAAAAAATGTTTCCTGGGGGCCTGTAGATGATAACACGATTAGCAGTCCTCGGATCTGTTACTGCTTTCACTGTGTAGGCTGCCACATCCTCTTCATAATTCAAGACAGCTTCATGTGACCAAACAAAAGGGAAAAAAAGAAGACAATTTCGTTAGTTTGGATGAAAATCTAACAAAAAGACCAATTGAAAAACAACTGTCTATTTAGAGACAAATTAGAATTTAGGATAGAATAGAATATCCACATAAATATATATGTGCGCAAATGCAATATTTAACTCACCTTTGGCTTCACCGCTTCCATAAACAGTAACTTCATCTCGTTTCTCATGGGGATGGAGCAAGTAATCCACAAAATATGCAGCAAATGAGTTTGCAGACACACAAGTGTAAGAAAGTCCAGCTGCTTCTGCTGCTCTCCTGATCTTTCTTTTGTTAGCAAGGACTGTTTCAAACGGTGGCAGCCCACTAACTCTATCGACTTCATTTCCAAATTCTGATGGAACAAACCTCTAATAGCAAACACAAAAGATCATGGAAAGCTTGATAACAAACATTTCCTTAAGAAGGGCGAAAGGCTAATTAAGCTATAACTGACTTTGATATTGCCAGCTTCTTTCACAGCACTAATTATTTTGAATTGTTCAAGATGTTGTGGAACTGCAAGTGTAGAAATCACCACATCTACTTGTTTTATTGCTGAAACAAGCTTGTCATGCTCGTCCAATTCTCCCTGTAAATTTGTAAATATTGCAAAAATTATGATTGGATTACATCAAGGATATTCTTGACACCACCGTAAATGTATTATCTTTTTTCTATAGGATCATGTGGTTCAATTGATATTTTTTCGAATCTCTTCTTCATATATATATATATATATATATATATATATAAACACATGCATGCATGCTTGCGATACCGAAGTTGGTAAGTAATTATGAATTCTGAATGGAAAAATCTAAACATTTACTTGGATTTATTAAAAAAAAAAAAACATAAGTTTAACGCAACGATTGTATACCTAGTTAATTATTTTAGTAAAACAAAGTTCGAATCTTAATAAATTTATTTATTTATTTATTTATTTATTTATTTATTTATTTATTTTATTTTATTTTTTTTGTAACAAAGAAAGGTTCCTCCAATGAATAAAAAAAAATTACTTGAAATATAGTGACTCCCAAGGATCTGAATTCCTTGAGGAGCTCTAGCTTGGAAGGATTGGTATTCGGTTTGAATGGGCGAACATAAGCATAGGTTGGATGACCCATTGATAGGCTTGCCTTGACCATGTATACGCCAAGATATCCAGTTGCTCCAAATATTAGTATCTTGCTCTTCTCACAGGCCATGGTTCTCCCTTCTTCTTCTTTTTTTCAAGTACTCCTTGCAATCTATTGCAACAGCTAGAAAATACTTCTTTTGAAGCTTGGAAACATGGACCTTTACATAAAAAAATATCTATTGACTATTCCCAAACAATACCCTTCAATATATATATATATATATATATATATATATATTTATTTATTTATTTATTTAAATATTATTATCTAACATTAGAAATAAAACTAATTCTGTTATATATATATATATATATTGGTTAGGTTTAGGTTAGATTTCGGATCGAGTTTGACAATATCTATATTCTATTCATTATTTAGCAATTAAGAATTTGAAAAATCCATTTGGATCAATTCGTATGAATATTCATTGGATTCGAGTTAAGTTGCCATCCTTAAGTAGGGATCGAGGTCACTCGGTTGCCTGACTTATATGGATACAAGAGATCAGACAAATGAGGGACCCAGTTCAGATGCTTTCAAAGCCGGCGTAAAACTCGACTAATTGGAACCAAGAAGGTAATATTGATCCAGTTTTCAAAAAACAAAAAAAAGGCTTGTGGAGTTTGAATCTGGTAAAACTATCTTTTAAAATTATTCACTCACCATTTCTTTATTTCTTAGTTTAAGTTTTATAAATAGCAAAATATATATGTGTGTTATAGCACAAATCCAGTCAATAACTTATTGACCTAATAGCTCAATTAGGTCACCGTTCAAGTTAGGTTTAATTACATTCAACCAAGTTACTGGCTCCTGTCATCTTTCTCTTTCTGCAGTACTTATCTCAGGTTGAAAACGTGTAATATGATGACCCATTGACAAATTCAGAGTTCAGAAAATCGTCTCACTAGCTTATTTGTAGGATCATTTGTTAATGGCTGATATTGTATCGTTTTCTCATGTTTATCACGAAATATTCAGTTGACAAGTTACGATCTAGAACCGTAGCAGAAAATTGGAAGTTTCACATGGAGAATGAGTTCCAATTTTAAAGTTTAGCACATTTCATTGGTGTCTGTCAATGAAAACCCAGGTGACAGGTTAGGGGCAAGACATGCTTTCATCAGTTCATGTTTTCGTAGATTTTACTATAATTTCGTTGAATTTGAAGGATTGTTTTCTTTTTCCATAATCTTTTCCTTGTGACAAAAATTTCAAGTTTGTCAGCTAAGCGTACCATCACTTAGAAGCAAGTTTCTAGACATTCTTTCTGTAATCCTTTTTTCCCCGAACCACATTATATATTAATGCATCAAATTTTCAAAAAGAAAATCTTACATCCCTTCATATATATATATATATATATATACCTCAATGGCGTCGTAGAATGTCTCCAAGGAACATCCTAGTTAGGGCTTAAGATTTTCGGTATTGTTCAAATTCTTAATAGATCTCGGTGAGGATTTAGAATCGTCATAGAATTAACCCAAAAAATATCGTAGCAGAATAATTTATTTTAGAGGAACGAAAGCAGAGATTGAATATATAAACTTTAAGCTATTTGATAATAAACTAATAGGATCTAACAAATTTAGAGGAAAGAATATTACAATAAAAATCAATATGATTCTTTTTTTCCTTTTTACACAAGTGGGTTACTCAATGGGGTAAACATCCCCTCTGTTCATCCTCACTATATATATATATGTATATATATATGCATGAGATTCAATTTCTAATCTCTAATAAACTAACGCCAATTAACTTAATCAAGATAACTAGCCCCACAAAAATCAACATTTTAATCTAATAAACTAACCTCAACGTTACAGATTAATCATCTGGAAAGCACTGCTGCAGCGAATCAGTTTAGAAGTACTGACCTACTATAAACACTTGATTAGCAATGTATGCATACGCAGCCGTTGGGTATGAAACAGCAAAATGTAAGAAATGAAATACCGGCTTCATTAGGTTGCGTAATTGGAAAGCAAAATTCCTAGCTCCTTGCTCAGCAGCTATGCCAATGTGTCTTTCATTTGACTCATAGCAGCTTGACAACATAAACCAATGCTTTTGAGAATGTTGTGTCCAATTGTTAATCATCAGCTGAGTCAGTCTCTGAGCAAATCTTAGCGAGGCACCATTGAGTCCCCTAGGATTGGTAGAAATTTCATGTCATTCTCCAAGCAAAACATTTGATGATGCATCGTTTGTCAGATTGATGAAAACTGTGACTCAGTCTCTGAGCAAAGCAATTGTAGTGAAGCTTTGAACTGTCAGGTTGATCAAACTGGAGACAGTAAAGTGTGCAGCAAAGACTTAACTGGTATAAGCTGTTTCTTGGTCTTGTACCCAATGGATATCCCGCTCAAAAGATGAAATTGCAAGCATAACCATTCATTGGAAGTCTAAAAATTACACAAAGCAACTTGACATTGAAGATGCTTTGACATGGCAAATGATGAATATGGCTTGTAACTTATTAAATATTTAGAACAACCAACTCTTAACAGCTTCTGATACTCAACAGTAAACAAACAATACCTATTCTATCACAAGTTTTGATATGCCCTCATACAATCTCAAAATCTAGGATATCCATAAAGTATGAACGGGTTTGATTCGTCAAAAAGTCAATTCAAAAGGTAGACCTAATTCAAACAAAAGGCCAAACTGAAAGGCTCAGTAATTGTTTAGTAGCTCTTGGTTTTTTTAAAAAATCAACCACCTAATTCAAACAGCTACGCTGAATGAACTTTTCTCTAATATTCTGTTTCAAAATCTAGTTCCTTTGTTGTCTAAACTTGGCAAGAAGACATAAGCATAGGCATTTAGTGGAGCCCTTCAAATAAAGTTTTGAAATAAGAAGGATAGCTGCAGCACAGATATAAGTTATTACAACCCAGAAAAACTTGCTGCTCCAGAGAGAGATGGAAGTGGAGGTCACTTGGCCTTAGTTTATGTCCTATTATAAGTCTAGAGTAAATAACTATCTTAGATTTTCTACTTGATATTGAATCTATATAATACAGTATTCAACCTAATAGCTAATAATTAAAAAAAAAAAAAGCTTTCTTAAAATGTACGAAAATTAAAAAAAATATATGGCATGATAATAATTAATATTTTTTAAAAACTGAATGAAAAATCAGAAAGGCAATTTCATTTAATTTTATATTATTTTTATTTTATACAATAACATTTGGTGTTTTAATTTCAATTTTATTTATTTGCGATTGCAATTAAATATGAAATCACTAATAACAAATTTAAAAAAAATTATATTTTCTACATTAGCTGCAGAATAACAACTCACTAACAATAAAAAAATAAATAAATTACATAAACTATTGATGGACAACTACGAAAATCATTGATATATTATCAATCAAATAGAGATAGATTAATGATAAAAATTTCAGTGAGAGATAATTTTCACCAATAACTCTTCACATTAGAGATGAATAGAAGATCTTTTAACGACAACATCACCGTCGTTAATTTCATCACATTAAGAATGAATAAACTACACTATTATAACATCTTTTTTTGTTGTTAAATTAGAGACGAAAGTTATAATTCGTTGCTGAATTTATTAGCAACAAGCAATTTTCTCAGAAATTTGTTTTCTCGCAATGCCATTGTTAAAGTAAAATAAGGATGAAATATATGGTTTTAGCGATGAAATAATCTATTGCTATTGTGCTATTTTTTTATAGCGTAATGTTCTGTCTTCGGATAGCGTCATCTTTCTCCTCCTGCCAGAGCCTCAAATGTAAAAAGACACTAGGGTCTCCTCGGGGGATGCTAGGTGCTCTAGGCTTGCTTAATAGGCTAGTTATTTTTTGCATGTTGTGGGCCTTAATTGGGACTAATAAGTTTTGGAGTTGGGGCTCCTGAGCCCTTCTTGTTGGGTTGTGTTGGAAAAAGACTCTCCATCGTTAGTCCTTCCAAGTCTTGACTAGGCCGCTTAGCCTACACTTCAAACCATTGATTAGGCATTTCAAGGGACGCATTGTCTAATTGGGGCTGCCTAAGGTGTTCTCTTTGTTGTCTTCTTTTGACATTAGTTGACCAATAGTCCTTTCTTTTTATGTCTTAGCTCCTCGAGTTTAGTAGATTTGAGTGAGAAAAGGGTAAGCGTTTGCATGCTTGGCACCTCTACTACTGTGTACTGCATTTTCTTATATTTCTTATAAATATAACGATTACCTTCATTAAGGGCTGTGCCCATTCTCCTTTCAAATCGAAATGTCTGATGTCGATGTGCAGGAAACAACAGCAACTGTCCTGACTGCAGCACTCGTTTCGAAGAAACCTGAATCACCGTCTCCTGGCTCTTCTGATATTGGTTCCTCTGGGCAAGGAAGTTCTTCAGGTACGATTGTTCCGTCACTTTCGATGGATAGGCGTATCCAGTCTTCAGAGGTTGGAACACTTGTGGCTGCTTCTGAGGTGATAGAAAAAAAACCAAAAGTTATGAACCTACAGCTGAGGCAATTAAGCTATAGCTCTTATGTAGTTCTCTTATGGTTTAATAATGGTATTAAATGGTTGGATGGTTTTGTCACTCACATGAACAGGAAACGATAAACAATTTGGATGACAAGACATCTTCAAAATCACTTAATGTTCAGAAGTCGCAGACTGTTGGGGACGAGCGTTCCACATGTCCCACTGAAGAAGACATGAAATTACCCCGTTCTTCGATAACCAACTCAGACAGTACCATAGCTGACCATACATCTTCTGGTGCTGAAGATGGTCTTCTTACCCCAGAAAAGATTATGGTAATCATACAGGTGCTCCCAGAGGAGGCTCGGAATTAACTACTACTGAGATAAAAGTAGGAAGAGGAGATAAAAAGGCTGAGTCCATGGTTAATGTGGTGAGTTTCCATACCTTGCAATGAGTTGGTTACACCTTTTTGGGCCTAACATCGATCTTAAATGAAAATGGCCTCTTTGAAGACTAATTTTTTATTGAGACACCATGCCTACAATCTCATAAAATTTTGTTTTTTGTATTTTTGTATTTTTTTTTCACGTATGGAACCTTTACAATTGCATATTTTCTGTAACTGTTAAAACATATTCCTAAATATATGATGAATATGTTTGGTTTTGTGGTCTGAATTTGGTAACTGTCCCCTGTTCACAATCCATGTTATTTCTGTGGAATGAATTTTTTCATATCACTTATGAGCGTTATGGGTTTGAATAAAAGCTTGGAAACAGAACTTCCTGTTAAGTTTGGGCCTAATACAAATAGAAGCTTACCCTAAAGCCCAATATTTAAAATAGATGACCATAAATTGGCAGTCCAAGAAAACTAGAGTAGACTACACATCGTTGGGCCTAATACAAATAAAAGGAACAATCGAAACGGCTAAATGTGTTCGGCCCAATGGAGAAGAACCATGTAGCGGTAACGAGTAAGTTTTTGGAATAGTGGAGCATTTGGAGTAGTTGGAAAAACAATAAAGATTTGACGAAATGTGTAATTGAAAATCTATTTGAACTTAAATTAATAGAAAAAAATCACTTATTATTTATTAAATATGTAATTTATCTCATAAAAAAAATATTTTGTACTTTTTGGAGTGTGGGGTTTAAATATGAAAATCAAGCTTTGCCTAACCCAACATTCATGGTATTGCTTTCGGAGCTCTTCAATTCCTAAGCTCTCAAATTAGTCTTTCGTATTTCACTAGGAAAAAAAAAAAAAAAAGCGTCGCCTTTTTTAATCAATCAGTTTAAGAGAAAAAAAATCATGTTAAAAAACTATTTTAATCTAAAAATTTAAATTGTTAAATAAGTTTTAAGAATAGTTTTATATTAATTCAATACATGTAGCTAAAGAAAAATGCTTTAGCATCATGGTCATATCCAATTAAGATTCTTTTTTATTATTATTATTATTTAATATAAAAAATCTAATATCTAATTAAGAATTAATCTTCTCAGAAAAAAAAATTCTAATTAAGAAAAAGTTCGAGTACTCCAATTCTTAAGCTCTCAAATATGTTTTCAGTTCTTTACTACTTTTTTTATTAAAAAAAAAAAGTAAAAAAGAAAAAGAATATTCTTCACCTTTTTTTATCAATCAGTTCAAAAGAATCATTTTCACATTATACGTAACACATCACGTTTTGTAATGATCAACTTAGTCTTGTTTTCTTATCATGAAATATATATATTCTATTGACAAGTCATGGTTTAGAAAAATTGAAATTTCCAAAATCCAAGTTGTTTAAATTTACCCTCCATTGTAGTATGAGTTTTCTCAACTAATTTAAGTCATTTTTTTATTTTTTTAAAAAAATCATAAATATATTTGAATAGATATAATTTTTTTTACTTAAATCGATAAATTTATTCAAAATTGAATCAAATTATGTTTATATATATATATATATATATATATATCTTTGAACTTATGGATACTATCTTATGCTACTTTTCTCTTCTTTTTAAGTTGTTTTGAGTTAATTTTTACAAAATATATTTTAATATAACTCCTTCTTATCATAAATTATTTATAAAAATAACTTTTGAATCATGTGAAATTAAAAATTATTTTTCATAATTTATGCCGAACACACTTATTGTGTGATCGGCTTTTTAGCTTTAACCATTGTACGTACCTTTCAATTAGATCCGAGTGTCTTTCCAATTTGGCAATGCTCTGATCTTCATCTGGGGAGGTTATGGGCGTAGTAGTAGACACACTCAAGATTGTGAATCAATAAAATGTAAGAATATTTTATCCACGAAAAAATGACACTGATAAAGGAAAAGGGAGGGTACGTAGAAGCGAAGTTAAATCATACATATAAAAGAGAAAAGTCAATTATGTTTATTTCTAGAAGCTTCTGCGGCAGTGGTAAATTAAAACAATATGACTCAAAAAATGGCAAAATAAAGAGAAAAGTCAAGTTCACGAATAAATAAATAAAGGTCTCTATCACCTTCAAGATGAAAGGCAATAGACGGAAGGCCGGTTGGGTCCTCTATTGTACCTGCGTTGTCTTCCTTTCGAAAAAAGAATCTCATGCAATGCATGGAAATTGTTTCGACCATCTATTGTTCGCTCTGCTCCCTTCCACAAAATTTAGGGGTCCAAAAAAAAAAAGCTGTGAACATCGTTTAGCTGCCGTTGTTGCCCTTGCTGTACTCTCCTCCCTTCCACGAGATTTTTTTTGGCATATCCCTCATCTTTTAGCACGAAGGTTAAATTATGAATTAATTCTTTTAGATTTTAAAAAATAATTAAATAGTTCTTTCAATTTAATTAATTAGTCTATATATTTTTAAATCTATTTGTAACTTAATTCTTTTTATTTTTATTTTAATAAATAAATAAATAAAATATGAAAAGATTAATGAGAAAAGAAAATAATTTTTAAAATAAAATAATATTAAATTAAATATAATCAACATTGATAAAAATAAAAATAATTAATTTTTAAAACCAAAAAATATTATTTAATTCTTTTTATAAAACTAGAAAAATTAATTTATAGTTTAGGACAAAGTGAAGGTGGTAGGATTTGAACTTGCAACCGTTTGTTTATTAAAACTCTAATATTATATCATAGTATTAAATCTCACTCAAAAGCTTAAACTATTAGGTGAAACTCCCGATATATGATTTATATTATTATTTAATATTGTCTAATATATTTATCCAATTCTTTTTTGGCATAGGATAGGATAGTAGTCTTTTCCTTTTTCCATTTTTACTCGAATTTATATTGTTCAAGGCAATTTTCTTTTCGATAAATTTCCATTACTTGTGAATATCATTTTGCTGTTAAATCAAATAACTGACCTACAAATCAACAAGAAGAAACCAAATATTATGGAATGACAATGAAGTTAATTGTATTCCCTTTCGTACCAAAAAGATCATAAACCCACAGAGATCGATTGATAAGTTTATTTTGTGCACACATTAATTTATGAGAATGCTGCTAATTTGGGCTTAGGAGGATTGACCAAGCAAATGTCAAGGAGACAGTCAACTGAAGTGTACTTGTAGTCAGGATATAGCTTGGAGGCCTCCAAATCTTCTGCTGTGAGTTCAAAGCTCATCTGATCACCTTTGATGAATATGTTGTGCAGGATAGACACTGGGATATTTTCTGGGAAGGCCAAGGCTGCATGGTCCAGCAATAAATTTTTTATTAAATATCATAACGTAATATAATTTAATGTAATATAATGTTAGTAACTATCGAAGAACTTCATTATCAGCTTGTGTTTAATTATTTAATTTTGGTTAGGAAATAAAATGAGGTTGATAGAAACTCATGATGATTTCATTATTAAGATTCTAAAACTATGTTAAAAACCCATTTTAATTTGAAAATTTAAACTATTATATGAGCTTTTATGAATAGTTTTTTATTATTTTTTTAACAGCAACGAGACATCTTTTCAGAAAAGCGTAAGCTATTTATTTGCACTGGGACCAATTAATATTTCATGAAATGTTGGATGCAGCATATAAAAAGTAATTTCAGATGTTGGCCACTTACACTCTGAGAGCTTCACAATTTCTTCCTCAGGGACATAGATTTTTTTGAAAGTTCGTCCAGTCTTTTTCTCCCAAGAAGATATTATATCTAGTTGAGAAACAATGTTTCCTGGGGGCCTGTAGATGACAACACGATTAGCAGCCCTCGGATCTGTCGCTGCTTTCACTGTGTAGGCTGCCACATCCTCTTCATAATTCAAGACAGCTTCATGCGACCAAACAAAAGAAAAAAGAAGAAGACAATTTCCTTAGTTTGGATGAAAATCTAACAAAAAGACCGATTGAATAACGAGACTATATTTACAGACAAATTAGAATTTAGGATAGAATACAATATCCTTAAATATTATATATAAATATATGTGTGCGCAAATGCAATATTTAACTCACCTTTGGCTTCACCACTTCCATAAACAGTAACCTCATCTCGTTTCTCACGGGGATGGAGCAAGTAATCGACAAAATATGCGGCAAATGAGTTTGCAGACACATAAGTGTAAGAAAGTCCAGCTACTTCTACTGCCCTCCTGATCTTTCTTTTGTTAGCAAGCAGTGTTTCAAAAGGGGGCAGCCCACTAACTCTATCGACTTCATTTCCAAATTCTGATGGAACAAACCTCTAATAGCACACACAAAAGATCATGAAAAGCTTGATAACCAACATTTCCTTAAGAAGGCCGAAAGGCTAATTAAGCTATAACTTACTTTGATATTGCCAGTTTCTTTCACAGCTTTAATTATTTTGAATTGTTCAAGATGTTGAGGAACTGCAAGCGTAGAAATCACCACATCTACTTGTTTTATTGCTGAAATAAGCTTGTCATGCTCGTCCAATTGTCCCTGTAAATTTGTAAATATTGCTTAAATTATGATTGAATTACATCAAGGATATTCTTGACACCACCGTAAGTGTATTATCTTCTTGGTATAGGATCATGTAGTTCAATTGATATTTTTTCGAATCTCTTCTTCATATATATATATAAACACATGCATGCATGCTTGCGATACCGAAGTTGGTAAGTAATTATGAATTCTGAATGGAAAAATCTAAATATTTACTTGGATTTATCAAAAAAAAAACCACAAGTTTAGCGCAACGATTGTGTACCTAGTTAGTTATTTTAGTAAAACAAAGTTCGAATCTTAATAATTTCTTTTTTTTTTTTTAATGTAACAGAGAAAGGTTCCTCCAATGAATAAAAAAAAAATTACTTGAAATATCGTGACTCCCAAGGATCTGAATTCCTTGAGGAGCTCTAGCTTGGAAGGATTGGTATTCGATTTGAATGGGCGAACATAAGCATAGGTTGGATGACCCATTGATAGGCTTGCCTTGACCATGTATACGCCAAGATATCCAGTTGCTCCAAATATTAATATCTTGCTCTTCTCACAGGCCATGGCTCTCCCTTCTTCTTCTTCTTCTGCTTCTTCTTCTTCTTTTCAAGTGCTCCTTGCAATCTGTTTCAACGACTAGAAAATACTTCTTTTGAAGCTTGGAAACATGGGCCTTTATATAGAAAAATATCTCTTGACTATTCCCAAACAATACCCTTCAAAATAACAGTTTTTCGTTGTGTAGTTTGCCGGTTAATTTTATTTTACGTTCTGAATTTGAAAATAGTTGAGCCATTGCTTTTACAGTTAGCATTTTATCACACATTTTCTAATATGCATGGATTGATGCAAAAGATCAGACAGATGAGGGACCCAGTCAGATGCTTTAAAAGCTGGCGTAAAACTCGACTAATTGGAACCAAGGAGGTAATATTGATCCAGTTTTCAAAAAAAAAAAAAAAAAAAGGAGCTTGTGGAGTCTGAATCATCTTTCTCTTTCAGCAGTACTTATTTCAGGTTGAAAACGGGTAACATGATGACCCATTGACAAATTCAGAGTTCAGAGAATCATCCCACCAACACATTTGGTGGGCTCGTGTGTTTTAATGGCTGATCTTGTCTTGTTTTTCTCATGTTTATCACGAAATATTCAGCTGACAAGTTACGATCTAGAACCGTAGCAGAAAATTATAAGTTTCACATTGAGCATGAGTTCCAATTTTAAAGTTTGGCACACTTCATTGGTGTCTGTCAATGACAACCCAGGTGACAGGTTAGGGGCAAGACATGCTTTCATCAGTTCATGTTTTCGTAGATTTTACTATAAGTTCGTTGAATTTGAAGGATTATTGTCTTTTTCCATAATCTTTTCCTTGTGACAAAAATTTCAAGTTTGTCAGCTAAGCGTACCCTCACATAGAAGCAAGTTTCTAGACATTCTTTCTGTAATCCTTTTTTCCCCGAGCACATTATATATTAATGTATCAAATTTTCAAAAAGAAAATCTTACATACCCTATATGTATATCAATGGCGTCGTAGAATGTCTTCAAGGGCTTAAGATTCTCAGTATTGTTCAAATTCTTAAGAGATCTATATATGTGAGGATTTAGAATCGTCCGAGAATTAGCCCCAAAAACTATCGTCGCATAATTATGTATTTTAGAGGAACGAAAGCAAAGATTGAATATATGAACTTTAAACTATTTGATAATAAACTAATAGAATCTTACAAATTTAGAGGAAATAATATTACAACGAAAATCAATATGGTTCTTTTTTCCCTCTTTGACACAAGTGGGTTGCACAATGGGATAAGCCTTTCCTCTATTCATCCGTACTATATATCCTATTTGTGCATGTTATGGTCCCAATTGAAGGATCTCGTCACAGTCGATTAACGGGAAAGTTGTTTAGCTTTCCCTTGTTCAAGTTTCAATTCTTCCTTGAAGAATCTATAATGACAGATAACAATAGATGGTTTGTTTTGGAGACCACCAACTCTCTTAGCTTTTCTTTGGCTGAAATATTGGATGCCTTTTATTATGTAATCTATAGCTTTATAGAGTAGCAGGATAGCTAAAAAGAATACATACGTTTAGGCTAATAGCCTGCAGAGTTTCCATAACAATAATGATTCTAAAGATAATCAAAATAGGACTTATTTAACAGATTGCCTATTGGTCTTCTATTCTTACTGAACTTAGAAAGATGACTACTGCATGAAATAAAATCGCCAGCTATTCCTCTGCTGTTGCCACTGTTGGTACTTTGTTTCTGCAGCTGTACTTCTTGTCGATGAATGCGTCCACATCAGTGCATGAGATTCAATCTCTAATAAACTAAGGCCAATTAACTTAATCAAGATAACTAGCCCCACAAAAATCAACATTTTAATCTAATAAACTAACCTCAACGTTACACATGAATCATCTGGAAAGCACTGCTGCAGCGAATCAGTTTAGAAGTACTGACCTACAATAAACACTTGATTAGCAATGTATGCATACGCAGCCGCTGAGTATGAAACAGCAAAATGTAAGAAATTAAGTACCGGCTTCATTAGGTTGCATGATTGGAGAGCAAATTTCCTCCTTGCTCAGCAGCTATGCCAATGTGTCTTTCATTTGACTCATAGCAGCTTGACAACATAAACCAATGCTTTTGAGAATGTTGTGTCCAATCGTTAATCATCAGCTGAGTCAGTCTCTGAGCAAATCTTAGCAAGGCACCATTGAGTCATAGGATTGGTAGAAATTTCATGTCATTCTCCAAGCAAAACATTTGATGATGCATCGTTTGTCAGATTGATGAAAACTGTGCTCAGTCTCTGAGCAAAGCAATTGTAGTGGAGCTCTGAACTGTCAGGTTGATCAAACTCAAGACAGTAAAGTGTGCAGCAAAGACTAACTGGTATGAGCTGTTTCTTGTTCTTGGACCCAATGGATATCCTGCTCAAAAGAAGAAAATGCAAGCATAACCATTCATCGGAAGTCTAAAAATTACACAAAGCAACTTAACATTGAAGATGCTTTGACAAGGCAAATGATGAATATTGCTTGTAACTTAAATATTTAGAATACTCAACATAAAACAAACAATACATATTCTATCACAAGTATTGATATGTCCTCATACAATCTTACAATCTCAGATATCCAGAAAATATGACCAGGTTTGATTCGTACAAAAGTCAATTCAAAAGGTAGACCTAATTCAACCAAAAGGCCAAACTGACAGGTTCAGTAAATGTTTAGTGGCTCTTGGTTTTTTGAAAAATCAACCACCTAATTCAAACAGCTATGCTGAATGAACTTTTCTGTAATATTCAGTTTCAAAATCTAGTTCCTTTGTTGCCTAAACTTGGCAAGAACACTTAAGTATAGGTATTTACAAGGTCCTGCAAATAAACTGGAGCCCTTCAAGGAAAGTTTTGAAATAAGAAGGATAGCAGCACAGATATAAGTTATTACAACCCAGAAAAACTTGCTACTCCAGAGAGAGATGGAAGTGGAGGTCACATGGCCTGAGTTTATGTCCTATTATAAGTCTAGAGTAAATACCTATCATTCAGATGTGGCATCAAAATGACCCCTCCAGAAAATGAAAGAAGTGTTTGGTAAATTTATCAAACATTTTGAAACATTTAAAGGATGCAACTGAGATTTAAGTTTGGTCTCTTTGGCAAAAATATTAATTTCCTTGTTGGGCAAAGGAAATAATTCATGCGGTGGTTTCTTTGAACACAGATTTATTCAAAGACGGTAACTGATAGCTTTTGTTTACCAATCAAGAACACAGCCGTTACATGCTTACTGATAGATATTTGATTGACTTTATAATAGATAATGGATATAACAATACGATTAATAAAGGCACATGTGTTTTCGAAAGAGAAAATAAGATTAGCAGGACCATTAGGAAACAAAGAAGAAATAGAGAAACGAACCATTTGACATATGCTATCTAACAGTTGCAATGCTTCTTCCCATCTGTTGACTCTGAGTAGCCCTTTAATAAGGTGAACTAAAATGCTTAGCTCTGGAATACCGCCCCTACTGATCATGTCCGCATACAACTCAAAAGCCCTATCAACTTTATGTGCAAGTGACAAGTTCTCAATCAAAGAAATGTATATTTTCTGATTGGCAGCAGAAAATGGTGAAAATGATGAGAGCTCTTCATTCAGCTCAAGAGCCATCTCTAGTCTTCCAGCCTTGATAAAATTATCAATCAGGACTCTATAAACAGGAGAAATTGGCACTGAATCATTTTCGCTCATCTCAACTAAAAGATCAAGAGAAGCTATAAATTCACGATTGAAACCTTCAATGACTTTACGATAACCTGCTACGTGCCTTGGCCAGTATGTCTGTTTCATCTCTTCTAAAAGTTTGTAGGCATCATCTAAAAGGCCAGCAGAACAGCAGTGGTTTATCAAAACCCTATAGGTCACAAAATTTGGAGCACAGCCCTTGGAACCCATTTGTTGCAACAGCTCAAGGCATTTTTCAACTCTCCCTGCTTTTCCAAAGCCATCGATCATTGCAGTATAAGTTACAACATTTGGATTACATCCCTTTTCTTCCATCATAAGCATAAGCTTGTAAGCTTCATCTGTCTTTCCAACTTTGCAGAGGCCATCAATCATCTCAGTGTAAATAACCACATTGGGAGAACATGAATTTTCTAGCATTTTGGACAATACTTTCAAGGCAAGATCTAACCGTTTATCCTTAAACAACCTGTCAATCAAAGAGCTGTAAGTATATACATTTGGATCATACCCACAATCCAACATCTTGGTAAACACTTCTTGTGCTTCCTCCAGCTTGCCAGCCTTGCAAAACCCATCTATAAGGGCATCATATACAATATGGTTTGGCTCACAACCTGCCACTGACATTGATTCTAGCAAATCCCTTGCCTCTTTGACCTGATGGGCTTTGCACAATCCATCAACCAAAGCTCCATATGTAAAAACATTTGGTTCATTCAAAGCACTATCAATAACCCTGAAATAAATATCAACATCTGAGGTTTCCACATTTTCCTTCTTCATTCTTGCATAAATCTGGCAAGCTTTTTCGATCTTCCCTGCTTTACAAAGACCATCAACTAAAGTTGTATATGTGACAATATTAGGAGTACAACCTTTGGACAGCATCATCTCAAAAACTTCATTTGCCTTAGACTCCTTCCTAGATTTAAGGTAAGCATGTATGAGAGCAGTATAAGTCACAACATTTGGGGCACAACCATCTCTTTCCATTTCATCAAACCAGGTGCGAGCCTGTTCTATTAAACCAGCTTTACAAAAACTATCAATTAGTGTAGTATATACATACACATCTGGAGCAATACCATTCCTTTTCATTTCTTGAAACAACTGAAAAGCCTTCTCTACTTTGGATGCATTGCACAAATAACCAATCACTTTTGAATATGTATTGGTATCAGGTACAAAACCCTTACTCATCATTTCGCAGATAACATTATATGCCTTCTCAAATTTTCCAATCCCACAAAGACATCGAGAAAAATTGCTGACGTTGACCTTATTTAAGACAACCCCTGCTTCAAGCATTTCACCATAGGCTTTCTCAGCCAAGTCTAACGCATCCTTCCTTGGCTCCTCGTTGCAGCAAATACCACCAATCAATATATTGTAAACCACATAACCTGGTTCGCACCTACATAGCACCATTTTCTTTAGCAACTTATAGGCATAAGCATAATCTCCAGATCTACAATAAGCATGAACAAGAGAATTAAATATCCTAGGACTTGGATAACACCCTTCTGTGATCATCATACTAAGAATTCTCTTGCATCTACCAAGCTGTTTCTTATTCAAACACCCACAAAGCAAAATCCTATAAGTCAAAACATTAGGAAGACAAGAACTAGCCCGCATCCTGGTCAAAAAATCCATAGCTTCTTCAAAAGAGAAGCTTCACATAACCCTGATATCATCTTCGTATAAAGCACTGTATTAGGAACAAATTCTTCCTTCTCTAGTAACGTCAAGGCTTCCCTCCACTTCCCTGCTTTACAAAGGGAATGCGCAAAACAACCCAAAGTAAACTCATCCATACCATAACCCATATTCGACATCTCCCTATGAACCAAATAAGCAGTATCTATTCTCTCAGCTCTTAAAAACACCTGAACCAAGGCATTGTAAGTCAACCTTGATGGCTTATATCCGAAATCCTTTAGCCTACCTAACTCCTCCAATGCAGCATTCCACAACCCATTTTGACAACATTTACGAATCAATACATTGAGCAACTTCCCTAACACTTCCTTGTCATCATCCTTAATTTCATGCAAAAATTTCTCCGGTACTCTGTCAATACTATTATCCCTACTACTTTCTAATATCTCTAACAAAGCATTGTACACAGGCAAAGTATGACTATACCCAATTTGCCTACCAGTCCAAATAAAAAACTTAACACAAAATTCAGGGTTTTTAATTATTTTCAAAACCTCAACAACCAAATTTGGATTCAGTTTCTCCCTATGTTCTCTTAACAATTTCTGGGTTTGGTTACCAAACCCATCATTATTATTCAAAATCACATTTGCAATCAAAGTAGCTTCATTTGAACACTTACCAAGATCAAATCTTTGCCTATCTTCAATAGGACTTAACAAAGAATCGCGTAAAACTGCAAATTCTTCGATCGAAAAGGACTCGACCCTCGATTCCTCTTGCAAAAATGGGTCATTAGGATCAACGAGTCCTTCAAGATTGTCACTTGGAGAGGTGGAGGTGAATCTAATAGTTATAAAGATTGGGTTTTGGCGGGAAAGTTTGGGACTTTGAGAGTGCAATGGTGAAAGGGAAATGGGTTTTAGTTTAGGAGAGGAAAGCGAGGGAGTTGAGTGAGAGAGGAGTTTGGTTAAGACCCTCCTTTTCATTTGATTTTTTGGTGTGATTTAAGAGAATTTGAACGAATTTGATTATTAGACTGTTTTTTGGTCTATTTGGTTTAGGGTTTAGGGTTTTAAGGAGGGGTTTTGCAGGTGGATAGGAATGTGAGTTGAAGTTGAAACAGTGGCATTCATGGCAACCTGCTAGCAGTAGCAGGAGTTTTGAATTGCTGTATAAGGTTGAATGACAGGTCGTTTCAGAGGGGCACCCCACGTCTAATATGCTGGTTGAACGATGGGTCGTTTCGGTTCGTCCAAGCAAAATGAAGGATTAAATTGCAAAACCTCGCCTGAGGTTTGGAAATTCTGTCAATCCTCCCTTATACTACAGTAGCTTTTCAAATACCTCCATTGTTTCAGTTTCACTTTCATTTTTTGACCTTTTATCTTCGTTTTAATTAGGAACTTAAATATTTAGGGGTGTAATTGAAAAATAATTCACAAATCTAAGAGTTAAGGAGCCAATCTAAAACTCCCAATGAATCACATTATTCCATGTAACACACAAGATATGGAGTAATTGAGCATATTTAAGAGAAAGGGTAGAGGGATGACATTGAAAAGAAAATTAATATATTAGGGCAATGATTAAAAAAATTGTAGTTTAGGGGTGGACTTGGACAAAACTCTTAGGTATTGTTTGACAACAAAAAATTAAATAATAGGAATGAAAATAAAATTTTATTCTCATTTGTAGGCATTTGTTTGAAAGAAATGAGGTAGGAATGAAAAAAAGAGTAAAAATATTATGAAAATTAAACATTTTTTTCCAAGAGAAGTGGTCTGAATGAAAAAAAAATGGAATAAGATTTTTTTTTTCCTCCTTCAAAATATAATATAGTATTTTTATTTATTATGCATCAATTATTTCTAATATAATCATCACCTCTACCACCATTGTTGCAACTGGTTCTGCCACCATCACCAACAAGCAAAGGTGATAAAAAAAAATTAAAATTATTATTATTATTATTTTACTATCAATTTTTCTCCTCTAATACAATCAATATTACTTTTATTATACCACAATCATCTTTTTTTTCCTTTCACTATCATCTTTTATGACGATGACATTAATTTTTTAAAAATATATTATTATTATTATTACCACTATCACAAAAATATATTATTATTATTATTACAACCACCACCTACTCCTCCTCGTCCTCTTCCTCCACAACCACTATTACAATCTTTTCTATCGTTTTTACTATTATTATAATTAATAAAATTATTTTTTAATTACTATTTGAAATACATTATTAGAATAAAATTTTTATTCTAATTGTCTAATTTTTATTTTAATTCTTACATTCTCATTTTCCGCATATTACAAATAATCAAACGACAATATAAACCTCAAGCAGTTTTTTTTTGATTTTCTTTTTCTGTAGTTTATTTTGATGTGGAGGTAGAGAGTTGAGACTAATTGTAGCTTATCAATAAAAACTTGAATGCTGCTGATATTTCCAGCTTAGCAATGAGCGTCTAAAATGGTGATACTCAAGCCGAGTTGGGATCGATAGGCCTGGTAGTTAGTCGTTCCAAGAGGAATGTGAAACATGTTAAATATTATGAGGTCTAAATAGAGAAATGCATGTCAATTGTATGTGAAAATATTAAGTGCAATGATGATCTTTTCATTCCAAAATTATCTACAGGTAGTGAACAGCGATCTTTAGAATGGTCTGCTTACACCATTAATACAATTCTTTCACGTCCTTAGAATGAAGCATATAGGAACTAATCAGAATTGTCAATCAATAGTATCTTCTCTGGATGGAAAGCTCCATTCTCACTATGTAAAACCCTGCCATTCCATTTCATCTTATCTGTAATACCTTTTACTTCAACAATGACGTCAACGTGATCTCTTATTATAACAGCTCCTTCAGGCCGAAGAATCCGGTGCATCTCAAGAAGGATATCAATAATGCTGCACCTGCATGAGACATGAACAAAGCAAATCAGAAATAGGCATTTTTATCCTATCTTTCTGTTGGTGGAATATAGAAACTCGTTTAAGAGATCACGTCAGCAGTCAGAGAAGATTACTGCAAAACCAAGCGATCAGAGCTAAACTCTAGTTTTCAGCAAATTTGGCTGGGATATCCACTTGAATGGTTGTGCATAGAATGACAAAATTGTGGAACGTTCGTTAAATTTGCTTACAATGACAGGCATACAAAATCTGAAAGAGAAATAGAAAATTTAAATCAACTATAAACAATAAGAGAAATCTGGAGCTATCATCTCCAGTGCTTTCAACAGTGACACTCGGTCTCTTCCAAATCCTTTCTTTGAGCTTCTCTCTCCCCTTTTTCCTTTAAGAAAAACTTTTTGTTGCAGGATACTGACATGAAGAGAATTATAATATCATTCAATAGAACAAATTGGCGTATATTGCTTACTTGTCCATATACATGCTGAATACACCATGAGCATGTATCAAGTCGTAGGTCCGAGGGTACGTTGAGAAGGCTTCACACCTGCAATCTACCTTCTATTACTTCACCTCTGAATAAATGGAAAGGAATTGCATATTTTATCCACACGCATCTTCCTTTACCAGTTAAATTTAAAGGAACCAAAAAATGATTTTTTCATGAGAAATAAATGTTAAGCTACACAAGTAAAACAAAATACAGCCCTAGTCCAGGAATTGTCATGTAAGGAAATGATTTCATAACTACTGGAGTGACATCCTTGAGGCTTGAAGAGTTGATGCAAAACGGGAATGGATAAAAGAAGAAAATAAAAAATCAGACTTCACTTTCATGCATAAATCTGCAGCAGAACAAACTCAACTTCATGGAGTACATTAAATCAGCAGTTATTATTTTTCTATCCAAAATATGATTAAAAATTAGTAAAATAACTTCACTCAAAATATGGTAATAGAACATGAGTAAAGAATGGAAATTCAATATCTTATGTAATCAATTTTTTCGAAGTTATTGATGGATGGGGCTTTGAGTACATTCTCATGCAACAGTACATTACAATTGAAGATTCGATTTTCTTTTTCACTATGATATCTGGCAGAATAAGTTTCCCTTTATGAAGCTCAAATGGTTCAAAGAGATCAATCACATTCTGTAAGTACAACAGCGGATCACAGCTCAGCGTTGACAAAATTATCAAGGATGTAACAGTCTAAAGTTTAATGAGCGAAGCAAAAACTGCAGAAAATTAGAGAGATCAATAATCTCTACAAAATATATTTAAAAACTATTCTAAAAAGAAAATTCAAAGAACTACCTTCATTCTTACCAATTCATGTATGTTCCAACAAGACCACGATCATACACAATGCTAAGGTTGTTCTGTTTAGCATCAAAAGGTAACACATTCATTACCCAAACTGGATACTGAGTCAGTGCTGCAGCAAAACCCCCTATGCCAGCATTCATATCCATTATGTTTCTGTATCTGCCTTTGGAGAGAAATTTGAGTATGGCTCCATAATATTTGACTCTTCTTTTCCATAACTGAGTATCTCCTTCAAAAGCCCTACTTGTAATTCCTTCATTTTTAGTCCTATGAGGAGCAATATTCAACCTTTTGGGCCATTTTTCAAGAGAACCCCCAGAGACATCATGGATATCTGTTACGTTTGGAAGAGGAGTAATGCATGGTTCCATCTTTTTATACCTATCAAAGCATAACGACAAACGAAAAAAAAAATATCATGGGACCTTAGGTATATCAAGTAATAACGAGGTATGACGATGTTTTACAAGATTTCTTATTCAGAAGGGACGATCTTGAAATAAGTTTAACTTGCAATATCGCTCGGGTGATGCTATTTAGCATCCTACCACACCATCACTCTAGTTACAACACACACCAAGAGGGTGGAGTATCAGACACATTCTGACATGATCTAAAAAAAAAGAAAAAAAAACAAGGGTAATCTATTGAGATTGCCAGTGTCAAACATTTCGAAAGCGGTGAGCACACTACAATCCAGAAGGCAGGAGTTTCTTTGTAAGATTGCTATACCTAAACTCTTGCATATTTGTCAGATCAAATTGTTGTGTAATGACTTGTAACTCATGGCAATTTCATAGGCTAAAAGCGAAATATGAACAAACTCACCAAGCAGCATCAGGATCGCTGCTAATACAAAACTGAGGAGATTTCCAAATCCTTATCTTTTTGATGCAGTGGATGTGGTTGTTTGGTTTTCTCCACACGGCAATGGATCCCCTTTCAGCAACTTTCTTCCAACACAATCGCCCAGCAAGATCTTCCAACTTTGCTTGCTCTTGTTCCAACTCCTGAGCTCCCACCTCTGACCCCTTGTAGTTAGCCTTCCAACTTATTGGCGGTCCAGAAAATATCCAATAACCACCAGGACGCAACAGACGGTCAATCTCCATCAGGTAAAGTCCATCTAACCATTTGAATTTTGAAAAGAGAGGAAAAGAAGTAAAAATTTGAGGTCTTATTAAACTTCCCCAATGGGAAAATATGATGGGATCTTAGGATAAATGAAACAGTTTTACAGGGTAACAACCAAGCAACACATGCATGCAAAATGAATCATGTTTTTTTTTTTTTTCCTGGAATTGAGATGATCCTAAATTGGCTCCTGAAGTAACGTAGAAATTAATTCCAATGCACATGCTCTTTTATCAATTTCAAAAGCACCACGCCTTCAAAAGCCAGGTAACAAAATATGGAGAAACTACAGTTGTCATATAACATAATCATGAACTAGATAAATAGAACTTAGTGCGAGTACCATAATTAGTCCATTGAACCAAACATCTGGCACAGTGAGCCATATCAAACGATCTTGAAGGGAATGGCAACCGATGGATGCTAAGCATACCAAGCATGGCCAGAACTCCTCTTTCCAACGCAAACTGTACTTGGGCTTCATGTTTATCACTCGGAGCTATTGACATTGTCAAGATGTTATAATCCATTAAATGTGCTCCAAAGCTTGCAACCTGAAGAGAATTAACCAATGGCCAAAGTTTTAACAAGCAGAGTTCAAGTAATCAAATTCAGAGGATCAATTGTGATTTGCAAAAAGTTCTTACGTGTTCAACTTCTAACATTTAAACCTCTCTCAGCCCCTACTTCAAAATTGAAGATAAAATACTTCCAAGCAAAAGTAAAAAACAGAATAAATCCATGAAAAATTAACACTTTTTTACCACTTCTCCTTCATTGTGCTTTGGATCACCAGAGATCCATGTGGCTTGGAGAAGCTAGACAAGTAAAACTAACCCAAATATGATATATAAAGATCACAATTTAAAACATTACCTAAAATGCAAGCACAGACAAGTTCCACCAAGTGTTCAACTTCTAACATTTAAACCTCTCTAAGCCCCTACTTCAAAATTGAAGATAAAATACTTCCAAGCAAAAGTAAAAAACAGAATAAATCCATGAAAAATTAACACTTTTTTACCACTTCTCCTTCATTGTGCTTTGGATCACCAGAGATCCATGTGGCTTGGAGAAGCTAGACAAGTAAAACTAACCCAACTATGATATATAAAGATCACAAGTTAAAACATTACCTAAAATGCAAGCACAGGCAAGTTCCACCAGGTATCTAAACAAGAAGCAATGCATATTTCCATAACTTACCCCACATCCAACATCAAGAACAGTCCTTATACTCCCAGATTTCAAAGGCACAAAACTTTTAATCTCGTCAACATAAGCCTTAACTCCTTTTCGAAATGAGGTCCCACCACCTGGAAAAACCAGCAAATTACCTTCCAATCTAACCCAATTCTGTGATTTCTTGACCTCGCTCAGCTTCTTGAAAGGGACATTCTTGAACCAAGCATAGTCCCTACTCTTCGGCCATGAAAAAGGTCTCTTGTACCCAACAGGCTTTGGAACCAAACACTTTGGCTTTTCATAAGGTTCGGGGCAATGTCTCTCTCTACTAAAGAATCTTTCAACTGTGAAATCCTTTTCTCTTGATGGATCATGGCAAGGACAATAGTTGGTGAAGTTCGGCGGGCAGAAGTTGAAGAATTGGAGGGTTTTGAGAGGTTCTTTAGGAAGAGAGAGAGTGTGGTGTGCTTCAAAGTCAAGACCTGGATATGAGAAGTTAAGTTTGTGACAGTTAAGTGGCTGTTTCTGTTCTTGAAGAAGGGTAGTAGTAGAATTGGAGGAGTTGGTGTAGATGCCAAGAATATAGGAGAGAGAAAAGAGGAGAATGGAGATGAAGTATTTTACAAGGGGATTTGCGAGAGGGTTTGGTCTCGCCATCCCTGTGTCTCTGCTGGGACAGACAAAATTCCAAAATGGTGGGGTGGTAATAAAAAATAGCTATTTTTTGGAGTACTTTTTGGGTATCATCACGGCCTCTATTAGAGGAATTCTGACAGAGTTAATTATTCCATACAAATTTGATAAAAATCTGGACTTTTATTTCAGTCTTATTCAAACGTCATAGCTTGAAGCCTATCACACTGTTTTTAGTACTTGTTGATATGGAAAAACGGAACCTCTAAGCCTCTCGTTTCTCAAGTCTTATGTCTATGCTTAGCCAGTGATTGGGAAGTTAGGGTTTCAATTTCTTTCAATATCGAGTGTTCGAATAAAATCGAAGGCCATTTTGTTAAAGAAAGTAGAAAGCGCCTTTGGCTCTAAAGGCAGATGTAGAAAAGCAGTATGCTTCTGGCGAAGAAAATCCTGACGATCTATTCTTCCGATTCTCTTGGCAGGAATGGCACTTCATTGGCATGAAACTACAAGTAACGGGAGATATAAGAAAGTGTTTTACCACAAAGAGCATAATTGACGTACTTTAGAAAAATTATTCTAAAATGGAGCTTCGTTGCACTTCAAGGAGGACACATAATTCAACCTCCAAACTAGAGGTTGAAAACAATAACCAAACAGCAATTTGAAATAGTTCAACAACTTGAACAAATCCATTCAACAACGAACAGTACATAAAGACCAGATCTACAAATACTAGAACATAGAACATCACATTTTAATTGCCACCACGGAGGCGAAGGACAAGATGCAGAGTGGACTCCTTCTGAATGTTGTAATCTGCCAGGGTACGCCCATCTTCCAGCTGTTTACCAGCAAAGATCAGCCTCTCTTGATCTGGTGGAATCCCCTCCTTGTCCTGGATCTTAGCCTTCACATTGTCAATGGTATCTGAGCTCTCAACCTCCAGGGTGATGGTCTTTCCTATCAGGGTCTTAACAAAAATTTGCATTCCTCCACGAAGACGCAACACCAAATGAAGAGTTGACTCCTTCTGGATGTTGTAGTCAGCCAATGTCCTTCCATCTTCAAGTTGCTTCCCAGCAAAGATCAACCTCTGCTGGTCAGGTGGGATCCCCTCCTTATCCTGGATTTTGGCTTTCACATTGTCAATGGTGTCTGAGCTCTCAACTTCGAGGGTTACAGTCTTCCCAGTAAGGGTCTTGACAAAGATCTGCATACCACCACGCAGGCAAAGCACCAAGTGAAGGGTGGACTCCTTCTGGATATTGTAGTCAGCAAGAGTGCGCCCATCCTCAAGCTGCTTGCCAGCAAAGATAAGCCTCTGTTGGTCAGGGGGATGCCTTCCTTGTCCTGGATTTTTGCCTTGACATTGTCAATGGTGTCCGAGCTCTCAACCTCCAAGGTGATTGTCTTCCCAGTCAAGGTCTTCACGAAAATTTGCATACCACCTCTGAGACAAAGCACCAAGTGGAGGGTTGATTCTTTCTGAATGTTTTAGTCAGCAAGGGTGCGCCCATCCTCAAGCTGCTTACCAGCAAAGATAAGCCTCTGTTGGTCTGGAGGAATGCCTTCCTTATCCTGGATTTTGGTCTTGACATCATCAATGGTGTCGGAGCTCTCCACCTCTAAGGTAATGGTCTTCCCGGTCAGGGTCTTGACAAAAATCTGCATACCACCTCGAAGACGGAGCACCAAATGGAGGGTGGACTCCTTCTGGATGTTATAATCAGCAAGGGTGCGACCATCCTCAAGCTGCTTGCCAGCAAAGATCAACCTTTGCTGGTCTGGAGGGATGCCTTCCTTATCCTGGATCTTGGCCTTGACATTGTCAATTGTGTCTGAGCTCTCGACCTCCAAAGTAATTGTCTTGCCAGTGAGAGTCTTCACAAAAATTTGCATACCACCTCTCAGACGAAGCACCAAGTGGAGAGTGGATTCCTTTTGAATGTTATAATCAGCAAGGGTCCGTCCATCCTCAAGCTGCTTGCCCGCAAAGATCAACCTTTGCTGGTCTGGTGGGATCCCTTCCTTATCCTGGATCTTAGCTTTCACATTATCAACAGTGTCTGAGCTTTCCACCTCAAGGGTGATAGTCTTCCCGGTGAGAGTTTTCACGAAAATTTGCATCTAATCACAAACAAAGACAGACAAGATCAGCCAACCTTAATAAAAGTAGGAAAAAGCAAAAAATTCTTCACAACCCACAAATTTTATCACACATCAATCAGCATTAATCCAGACTTAATCAAACCCGGAACAGATGGCATCATAAGAATTATAGCCCATCTCACTTTTTATACAGCCATTCAATCAAATAACAAGAACCCAATAATTGAAAAACTTGACTGCTCACAAATTCATCATCTTTACTTAACTAGACCTAAGAGAAACAAACATAGAAAGTTAAAATCAAGAAATTACAGATCCAACAAAATAATTATATCAAAAACTGAATCATCAATCAAAATTAAATCAAAAAAGGGAACAACAAATTCTCATCTGGATATTAGCAGAACTTCATTGTGGTAATTAACAGAGTTCGAAAATTAATCAAGAGATTAAAATAGATTAAGCGATCGATCAATCAAAAAAATAAAGGAATGATTAAAAAAATAAACTGAGAATCGATGCATACCTTGACAGAGAAGGATTAGGGTTTTTTCTGAAGTTTTAATTGATTGATTGCCGATATCAAAATTGTACGGAGAATGGGGCTACAGGTCTTCGCCTTATATTGGAAAATCATAGAGCAGGAATGTTACGGGAATGCCCTGAAGATCAAAAGATAGGTTATTTCAGCTTTTCTTTAGCGAGTGCATACACGCGCTCATATTTGGTTTTTGGATCCACTCAATATAAAAGTTTCTGACAATATGTACGAGTAAATTATAAATTGGTCTTCTAATTTTTAAAAACAAACTAGTTCTTCTAATTTAAAAATTATTTATTTAATTTTTTATTCAGTATTAATTATGTTTAATTTAATATTATTTTATTTTAAAAAATATTTTTTTCATCAATTTTTTCATATTTTTTTAAAAAAATTAAAATGAATGAAAACATTAAATTATAATAAAATTTAAAAATATAAAATTAAATAATTATTTTTTGAAATAAAAAAAAACTAATTAACTTATTTTTTAAAAGTAAAAAGACTAATATATTTTACTCATATGGAAACCTTTGTATCACAGAAAGAAGAAGAAAAAGTTCTTCTATTTAGGATAAATGTAAATATTCTCCCTAAGGTTTAAAGGGTTTTTTAATTTTTTAATTTTTTTAGATTTCATTTAAAGTTTCAATTCTTATCTTTAATATATTAAATTTTTTTTATATTTGAATTGAGTACCTAAGTTTTCGTTTATAAAAAAATAATAATTAAACATGCATTCTTCCATGGATTTTTTGGATATATAAATCATGTATTTTAAAATTTTTTTCATTTGAAACTCTAAATTTATTGTTTTAAACATTTCGTTATATTATATCAACTATTCAACTGATGTGATATATTATTTTTAATATATAATACATTATCTTTAATAGCCATCAATCAATAATTAGACTTGACATTATGGTATATATATATATATATATATATATAAAAGGTCAATCCGTTTATATATATATATATATAATTTTAATAATAAAATAACACTTTAAAAAATAAAAAAGGAAAAGACAAAAAACCAGTAATTTTTCTTGTAATTTTTTAGATCCGATTAATGCAAAAGAATAACAAGTTATTAACAAACCTCAGAGAAAATCTTTTCCCCTGTGACCGTAACATATTTTTAGAAACCTCCTTGTAATCCAGAGCATGTCGATCTCGTCTTTTAGATTATCATTCGTCCATCACCATCATTATTTGTCAGTGACAACAAGATGTCACGAAAATCCATTGAGTTGACCAGATTACTTAATCAATAGATCAAACTACAATTGGGGTTTTTGATCCCTAAAATTTAAAGAAAATCCAAAAAACTTAGGAGGACAAGACAGAATCAAGGAATGTTGAAACGTCTGTAAGAGCAAGAAGAGCAAAGGTCAATTTTGACAGTGCTGCCGAGGCCAATCCCTCCAACACCTGGTTTCTGCAATAGAGACACAAACCCCACAAAATTACTGTGTTACAATTATTTTGAGACTTTACTTTGAATAAAAACGTTAGTGTGATCCTTCACCTGCGTTGGAGTTTCTAGGGTTTCATGGCCAACCATTGGTGGTGTTTGTGATAGTGGTGGGGGTGGGGTGGGCCTGAGAGGCTTTGGGAGGTGGTTGAGTGAAGAGGTGGATGAGATCAGTGCATGAGAGAAATAGAGTTACTCCTACGAGCAAAATCTGTGAGTGGGAAAAGAGAGAGAACAGCTTCTGAAGCCCAAAAAAAAAAAAAAGGAAAAAGGAAAAAGGAAAATAAGAGTAAATTATAAATTAGTCCCTCTTGTTTTGAGAAACGAACTAATTAGTCTATTTAGTTTCAAAATCCAATTGTTTAGTCTTTTTGCTGTTTTTTAATTTATTTTTATTTTTTAAGAAATAGAAAAGAAAAAAATAAGTAAAAATTATAAAAAGATTGATGAGAAGATGATACATTTTATAAAATTAATGTGTGTGTGTGTGTGTATGTGTGTGTATATATATTAAATTAATTGTGGTAATGTTGATTAGAAGGATTAAATAATTAGATTTTGAAACTAGAGAGATTAATTAATTTGTTTCTCAAAAAGAGAGGGACTAATTTATAATTTACTCTAGAAAATGATGAGGTGGGTTTTTTTTTTTTTTTCTATCTTCTTTTATGTATTATTTTATTATTAAAATTAATTTTTAATTTTTCTTAACTGTTAGAAATTAACTGATTTTCATAACTCATGATGTCACGAGTTAATCATTTATTAACAATTGTTAACAATAAATTAACGATATTATAATAAAAGATTTAAAGTAAAAAATCTCAAATAATACAGAGTTTCAATCAAGATAAAAAAAAGATACGAGTCTCAATAAAAATAAAACAAAAT